ATTTTTAGGAGGTAGATCCAGATCGGAAGGGAGGGATCCCACCCACGGGACCAGGCTCCGTTCGTCTCCTTCACTATCCTTCCCAAAAATCCCTCTGTTCAGGAGATTACCTAAAGCAAGAATACCCTTTTTGTTTTCCCACCTCCAGCGAGCAGAATCGATCTTCTTTTCAAACTAAACTCGAAAATCAACCAGCAAAAGACCCCCTCTTCTCCTCAGAATTTCCTTCTTCTGCTCTCAAAACTCAGACGAGACTCCCAGGCAAACAGACCCAAAATCAACCCAAAAACCCCCACACCCCATTACTCTGCTTTTGCCCTATATATATACCCCAAAAAATAAAAATAAGATGCAACAAAAGACAAGGGCCTTGCTCTGTCAATCAATGATGCCAATTTATCCGGTACTCCTTGTCTTTTCTGCATGTGAGGCAAGGTTGGGGGCTGCAGTAAATCAGCGGTGCAGAGGCGCGGGATTGGGGTGAGGCGCGGTGTACAGGGAGGCAGGGGCGTGGAGTGCTGATGATGGCTCGGGCGTGCAGGGGCATCATTGCCGGCAGTGGGGCGCAGCAGGGCAAGCAGAGTGCAGGCGATCTGGTGCAGAGCGCAGAAGCTGGTGCAGAGCAAAGCTGGTGCAGGAAGCAAGGCCGGGCGCAGCAGAGTGCAGGCTGGGGCAGAGTGCAAACGATCTGGGCGCAGAGCAGGGAGCAAGGGCGTAGGTGCAGGGCTGGTGCAGCTAGGCTGGGCGTGCGAGGGGGCGATGATGGCTCGGTGCAGGGCAGGTTGCAGGCGTGCGAGGGGGTGATGATGGCTAGTTCGGTGCAGAGCTGGGCGCATGAGCTAGGGGCGTAGGAGCTAGGGGTGCTGAGCAGGCGTGGGAGTGCAAGGCTGGGCGCGGTGCAGAGGGGTAGGCTGGCTCGGCTGCAGAAGAGAGGAAAGATAGATGGGGAAGGAGAAGGTTCTAGATCCCCTTTTTTTTTTCGTTTATTTCACCCTTTTTTTTTTTTGAGTTTTTGGATAATTGGGTTTTAAGTTGAAATGGGTTGGTGTTGGGTTGAGTTTGGGTAATTGTGGGTTTTGGATTTTGGGTAATTTTTGGTTTTGGGATTTTGGGTTTGGGTAGTTGGTAGGCTTTGGGTTTTGGGTAATTTTGCTTTGGTTTGGATTTGATGGATTTTGGGCTAGACTTTGCATTTCACCCCTCCAACTTTCCATCTCTTCAATTGAGTCCTTTTTCTCATCTTCTTTTCCAATCTTCTTCGTGAAATTTCCCTTTTGCCCTCCCCCTTTTTTTCTTTGAATGAACCTAACAAGTAAAACAAAGACAAAACATATTAGTTAAAATAAAAAATATATATATATAATATTTTACTAAAATTTGAGTTATGACACTTTCTTTGATGGTACTAATTATAATTATCGGAAGAATACGATGAAGGTCTACATGCTTGCAAATGAGCCCAAGGCATGGATTGTGACTATGAAAGGTCCATATCTGCCCATGAAAGTTGTTGGAGAAAATGAGGTGCCAAAGGAAGAAGTTGAATGGAAGGATGAAGACTTGGGGAAGATCATGATCAACAAAGCAATCAACATGCTTCAATGTGCTCTCAATCTAACAGAATTTAATAGAGTATCCGGGCGTGATATGGCTAAGGAGATGTGGGACAAGTTAGAAGTAACACATGAAGGAACAAGCCAAGTGAAGGAACAAGCCAAGTGAAGCAGTCAAAAATCAATAGATCCATTCACATGTATGAGCTTTTCAAGATGAAACCGAAGGAGAGCATTCAAGATATGTATACAAGATTGAATGATATAGTCACAAATTTCAAGGCTCTTGGTAAAGTTTATCCTTCTCAAGAAGTGATGAGGAAGGTTTTTAGAAACTTGCTTAAGAATTGAGAAGCTAAGAAGACCACAATTGAAAGGTCTAAGGATCTCAACACCCTCAAGCTTGATGATCTAATTGGAAAATTAATGACATATGAGATGGATATTCAAGTCAATGATGGAGTTGAAGTAGTTGAGAAGAAGAAGAATGTTACATTCAAGGCTAACAACCAAAAGGAAGAGAGTGAAGATGATGCTTGTGATGGTGAAGACATCTACACCTTGATCTCTACTAAAGTAAGAAGATTCATGAAGAAGAGCTTTAAGAGTGAACTTGCAAAAGAGATGAAGGAGAGTCTAGCAAAAAGAATGTGAATTGCTATGAATACAACAAGGTAAGGCATTATAGAAATGAATGCCCTCAATTGAAGAAGGGTGAGAAGAAAGACAAGAAGAGCATGAAGAAGAAAGCTTTTGCTGCCACTTGGAGTGATGATGAGACTAGCTCAACGGCAAGTGAAAGTTCCTTGGAGAATGGTGTTGCAAATCTTTGCTTCATGGCTCAAGAAAATAGCTACAATGATGAGGAGGTAAACTCTAACTTCTCTAGTTTAATTAATGAAAGTTCCTTTGATTATTCTTGTGATGATTTATGCAAGGTTCTTGATTGCTCTATGAATGATATCAAGAAACTAAGGAAGGAGAATCTTGCTTTACCATTTCATTGCTTAAAAATGAGATTGAATCTCTTTCAAAACAAAATGAGATTGAATCTCTTTCAAAACAAAATGAGATTGAATCTCTTTCAAAACAAAATGAGATTGAATCTCTTTCAAA